ACAGGCGCTGCTTAGCGCCTGACATTCGAGCAGCACGCACCCATGTCCCTCCAACATGAGCATCTTCTTCGTCCACTTCTCTGCTCACACTGGAAACCGAGCTTCTGATACAGACGTAAACGATGTTGCCCCTTGCAACCCACCATCGGCCCGCTCTTCAAACAGTGATGGCACAGATTCGTTTGAGTAGACGTATGGTGCAGACATGGTGTCACCCTCAAGTAATTAGAGAAGGAGAGGGGGGAGTGGCATCCGATTCCCCTTTGATCTCGTACGCAAACCTACACTCTCTGATTTTTGAGCCTGCTCTTGTACATATGACTGTCACACGTGTAGCATTTTTTTTATATCGATACACCGATTCTGTCTACAGACAGCGACTCTTTAGGCATGTCGTGAGACAAAAGACTTTCCAGAAGAGAGTCGATGTGAGTTTGTACAGAACGCGTTACATACGTGATTGTCATTGTATGTAAGAAAAACCGAAAAGCATATGTTATTCTTGCGGCCACGACGGTGGGATTTTCAATGAAGCCCAAAGAGGTCGACATTTTCGGAGCACTTCACCGTACGTTGTTTCTAACAATCATGTTATAATTTGGCACGTGAAACCCTAAATACTATAGCCACCTTATGTTCACATAGATTACATACATAACTGTCTACCAGGGTCACTGCCCTATTGATTTCAGACTGCGGTAAGGCTGACGTCCTTAGCTATATTGTGAATGGGAAACCAGCGAACGAATACCAGTTTCCATGGATGGTAAGAAGAACAACTGCATTTTCTTTCCTCCAGTCTCTATACATGTAAGCCTGATGATTTTATACGTACGTTCACTTTTGTTTAGGTTCAGCTGCAAATGCGCATTGCTGGCGATCCAGATTACTACGTATGTGGCGGAACCATCATAACGAAGCTTCACGTGCTTACAGCAGCCCACTGTTTCGACGTGTGAGTCAATGCAGTAGTCCTTGTAATATAAACATCACGGTGACTGTTTATTTCATGTGTTACGTGGTGCATCGCTAACCACGACGAATTTCTCAACAATGCATTCCTAAAACTTCGGCAGCTCGCGTAAAAATGTCAATCGCGAATTATATAGTCAATTCGTATCAGGCCAAACTGCAATAAAAAGCGGCTGCGGGACAATGGTGTACGTTACTTGTCTCAAACTCTTCCGTGCTCGTTTTTCTTCGTGTGCGAAAATGCCTTCTCTTCTCATTTTTGCTAATTGTGCAGACTGGAAAACCATTTCGACCAACAGGAAATACTTAGCATAACATTGCCCCGCCTGGTGGTCTAGTGGCTAAGGTACTCGGCTGCTGACCCGCAGGCCGCGGGATCGAATCCCGGCTGCAGCGGCTGCATTTCCGATGGAGGCGGAAATGTTGTAGGCCCGTGTGCTCCAATTTGGGCGCACGTTAAAGAACCCCAGCTGGTCGAAATTTCTGGAGCCCTCCACTACGGCGTCTCTCATAATCAAATGGTGGTTTTGGGACGTTAAACCCCACATATCAATCAATCATCATAGTTAGCATAACGCCAACTGAAAACAAGTGTCATTTTATTTTGTGCGGTAAAAACTACGCTCTAACCTTTATATCTCTATGTAGTTTGCACAATGCTACCGAAAAGGAGTGACATTTTATTTTGTGTGTGAAAAACCACTTCATGCTATAACCTTCATACCTCTAAATGAGGGACGCTGCAGTGGGAAACTTCATTTTAATTTTGACTGCATCAGCTTGATATGTCTGCAACTAAATCTATGGGCACGAGTGTTCTCGCGTTTATGGCCGCTTCATTGCGGAATCGAAGGTACATCTGAAAACTCGTCAGTAAATGTATGTATGTATGTATGTATGTATGTATGTATGTACGTATGTATGTATGTATGTATGTATGTATGTATGTATGTATGTATGTATGTATGTATGTATGTATGTATGTATGTATGTATGTATGTATGTATGTATGTAGAAAAACTTTCAACCCATGTTTTGTGCTTTTACTTGAAAACAGTTCGCATTAAGCTAAACACCTTAACAATTATCTGTTACATACACCCGCACTCATGCTGGATTGATAGTTTAACCTCAAGGCGACCATTCGTCCATCCAGAGCCCGGAACAGTGCGAATTGTGGTCTCACCTCCTCATTCCTCCTCTTACGTAATTGTTGAGGGCTTAAAAAACAAAACAATACAAAGACATAGCAAACTAAGTTGACTGGCCATAGGCTTTCTCAAAACATACTTTGGAACTTACCAAGCGTCCAATGCTTGCATGGGCGTCCACAGATAAGTTTTCATGTCTTCTTTATATCCACCGTTGTGCGATTCAGCAGTTGTTTTATGGCGTCTGTGGTCTATTGACTGTTTTCTTGTGTTCCTGTTTGCCTGCCCTCTACTTTAGGATGTATTCTTACCATTCAGCTCTGCTCTGTCTTATTCTAAGAGTACTACTGATTGGTCACGAAAACGTACTCATTTCGGCAATCGACTCAACCTACCACCAAGTCCGATACAAGGAAAGAAAGTTATGCAGCTGCACTGGAAGTGAAAGCTGTCGAAGTCCTGAGCAGGAATTCCCCTTTCCCTCACCAGCGCTCCCGTTCAAGAACACGCAAGCGCTGGGATTTCAAACTTGAAGCCTGTTTGGTGTCCAAACAGAAACTCAAGGTTTCGTTTGTGGTGTAGTGATGCCTTCTTCCCTCCCCATTTCTTTCATCCTAAACCAAACATCTTTCCCTCTCACACTCGCTTCTCTTTACCGCTCCTCTTGTTATAGTAAAGCCAACACAGTAACACTATGTTATGCTGTTCCCCTCATTATTTTGGTTTCCCTCACTCCCACTTCCACTTAACACCATCTTGTCATACTGTAATACACACTTTACTGTTTTTCTGTACCATCCTATTTCTTCTTTAACTTCTGTCACCTTCACTTTCTGTTCCCTCTTACTATACTCTGATGGCATACGGCCTCCATCTCTTCTGTCCTTCTCGCCTTTAATCCACTACTCACTCTCACTTTCTTGGTATACATGGCTATACTATGCACGGTAACGCCTTAGATGGTTTACTCTGCGAGATGCCAAGCGGCATGGGACGACAACAGCATACGAACCCGAACTCCAAAACTGTCCTGCACTTATTAGGCAATGCAATTGATTTTTTTAGCACTTTAAGCTTAGAAAACAGATCCCACGTGCCTAAGGCTAATACAAAACAGTATGTGTTCTCCGTTCTTTTGATAGTGGTAAAGTCTTTCACGCTGAAAGCCATCACGCACGCGGGTAATGAGCAGCACTATCACAGCGAAAGCTGGAAGAGCGGCCTTTCAGAGCCTTTTTTAACAATTTTTGGGCAGCTGCTGCAGGCAAATTTGCATGGTACCAACAATAGCATAAATAATTGTGTATTAAGCAGGCACTCACTCTGCCATCCTTCATCATTCTGCGAAAAAGGATGGCACCCCCCAAAATATATTAATGTATGTTTTGCGATTTCTTTGTGCTGTGGCTGAAGACGATAAAGAATTATTCCACAAGCTTTTGTCATAACAATTCCTCACAGTGGCTATACGCCACAGTTATTGGATAAACAAGATCAAGCTTTCGCAAAGGGTTGGAGCATTTGATTACACTCTCGTTGCGCAATTGCATCATGCGACACCTGGTTATTCCTTTGCTGTTTTAAAATGATTTTTCACTCATAATAATGCACCTCGCCGTGGTGGTCTAGTTGCTAAGGTGCTCGGCTGCTGGACCACAGGTCGCCGGGTTGAGTCCCAGCCATAGCGCCTGCATTTACGATGGAGGTGAAAATGCAGTAGGATCATGCGCTCAACCTTTGGTGCTCGTTAAAAACCGCCAGGTGGTCAAAATTTCCGGAACCCTCTACCATGACGTCTCTCATAATAATATTGTGGTTTTTGGACGTTGAACCGCATACATCAATGAATCACCGATATTATTTTGATTTATTTCCCTGACATCAAGCCTATCTGAAGCCAGATTGAAAAGAAGTTTCAAGCTTGGCATGGCTCATTGATTGAATTCTGGGCTTTTAATTACTGAGCTCTTTTTCCTATTTCGGACGATAGTGGTTGCGTACAAAAGTGGCAAAAGCAGCAACGGGGGTGGCGTTGGTGGACACCCACAGTGCGCAAGCGACCCATGTTGTGATCTCTTAACTGCTTTCGCTGTAAACAAAAGGTAGTGTGATTGTTCTAATAAGTGGATGTGCTATTTCGGTTTCATTTTTTACTGCAGGGAGGGTCGGGAAATAATCAGCATAGATGTGCTCTACGGACATGTTGACTGGCGTAGGGCCAAAAAGGTAAAAGGCATAAAGAAGCTGGGCCATGCAGATTACAGCTCCTGGACAAACCGTAACGATATTGGGATCGTAAAGGTACGCATCATCATCATCATCAGCCCGACTACGCCCACTGCAGGGCAAAGGCCTCTCCCATAATTCGCCAATCAACCTGGTATTGTGCTTCCTGATTCCACGTTATACCAGCAAACTTTTTATTCTCTTCGGCCCACCTAACTTTCTGTCTAATGCTCGTGCGTTTGCCTACTTTGGGAACCATCAGTTACCGTTAGCTACCAGCGGTTATCCTGCCAAGGCACTTCGGGCCCGGCCCCTGTCCATTTCTTCTAGATTTTAACTATGATATCCTTAACCCCGATTTCTTCACAGACCAGGCTCTCCTCCTTTCTCTCAAGGGTACCCTTACCATTTTCCTTTTCATGGCTCGCTGCGTCGCTCATCCTAAGTTTAAGCTGACCCCTCTTTGTAAGCCTCCAGGTTTCTGCTCCGTAGGTAAGTACCGGCAAAAAGCAGCTGGGACATGCTTTCTTTTCAAGAATCAGTGGCAGATTACCATTCATGATTTTGGAATGCTGGCTGAATGTTATCTACCTTATCCTTATTCTTTTAGCTATTTCAAACTCTTGGTCCCGCTCCACAGTTACTACCTGTCCTGAATAGACATATTCCTTCACAATTTCCAGCCTCTCCACCTATCACAAAGCGCCGTTTTCTACCGAGACTTGCCATTACTTCAGCTTTATGCCAAATAATTTTCAGACCTACTCTTCTGCTTCCCGTGCCGAAATAAAGTAATCATGAGTTGTAAATGCTCCCCTGAGTTACTCATCAAATCAATGTCTTCAGTGAATCGCAGATTATAAGAAACTTCCCATTACTTCTTATCTCTAACTCTTCCAAATCTAGGGCCCTGAAAACCTGTTGTAATTACGCAGTGAATGGCATTAGAGACACCGTCTCTATCTGCTTTGCGCCGTTTTTTATTGATATTCTCTCGCTTTCTTCAATGGGAATTATGGTGGCTGTGCATCCATTGTAGATATCTTCCAGTATCTCTATGTACGGTTCGTCGATGCCCTGATTACGTAGTCTCTGCATCACTGATGATGTCTTGACTCACTCAAATGCCTTCCAGTAATCAATGAATGTTATCTATGGTTCAATTGTGCGCATTTCTTTATCACCTGACTGATAGTATGAATTTCATCTGTAGTAGAGTAGCCTGTACAAAATGTTGCTTGGTACTCCGGTTCATTACCTCTAATATTGGCTTACGTCTATTAGTTAACATTTTTGTAAATAGTTTGCAGAGAACACATAGTAAGCTGATCGACCCGTACTTTTTCATGTCATTGCAACTCCTTTCTTATAAATTAGGATAGTATTGGCATTCCTCAAAGATAGTGCAACTTTTTTTGTAAGAAACCATTCCTATAAAAGGTTGCCAGTTTTTCTAATACAAAGGTACACACGGCTAGCTAAATATTTTTGACGCTAACCATGCTTATTTCTACTAATCTGCGGGATGGTTTGGCCAGTAGAGTTTCATGTATGAAAGCGATTCAGGCTGTGACTCGCCCTAATGAAAGGCTCCAGATAATTTCCATCATCAGTGTTGCTTTCACCTGTACTGATATCATACATCCGTGGCTAATTAGCCTTTTGCCTCCATCGAAACGTGACTACCGAGGAAGGAATCGGACGCACGTCTTCAGAGTCGTGATGTGCATATAGGAATAAAAATACAGCTTTCTTCGTTTTTGTGTGGCATTGTTATTCTCACCAAATGTAATTATATATTACAATTATTTCTAATGTATGCAAATGTCTATTATTTGTTTTCATATTCTACTTATTACATTGTTGTGCGATATAATACTATAAATATTTTTATAACGGTAATAATAATAACAATCGTAATAATAATTATACTTCTTTCTGGCATGAACACAAAACATGCCATCGAGATGAGCCAAAAGTAAACAGGTTTGTTTCCTGCCTAGTTTCACATCTAGGCTCCCAACAATAACAATGACTAGTGAGGCAAGCGAAAAGCACTAGGAAGGACACAATTCAATGGCGTCATGACTGAGAAGTCATAGAAGACTCGTTTGAATTTCAAGCACAACCTTTAATGAAAGCACAAAACTCATGAGACTTTTCATGTTGATTACGTAATACAGTACAGTTATGACTATATTTTATTAGGCCAATGTAGAGTCCCTCTTCTCATAGGCTGTGTTGCATATCTGTGTTCTTTTTCTTATTTTTTTACTGCCCAAACTAATTAACATTCAGCAGGCTCTGTACATACGTTGTCATAATCAGTTTGCCGATTGTCCTGACTAATAAATTGTTTCTGTTTTTATACTTTTATATAAGTTACATGCCAGTTTTTACTATTGCTTTCGAATCAATCCCAGATAGCTTTACAATGGTAATTCGTGTGGATTTTTTAAAATATTAAATTTTTGCAGGTTGTTTTATGTCAGTAAATTCATTATAACCATCCGATTTGCGGAATAAATGGGCAATATTCACAGCCTAGTAAAAGCTTTAAAAGTGTGCGAACTCCTTCCACATAGTTGAGTGCTTTTCGTGATGCCATAGAAAACGCACAACTTCGTTGCGCTCAGTCTATGGTACAAGTTGGAAAGAGCATAAGCAGTCGTGCTTATACAATGAAACAAGTAGAACACCTAGTTTATTTGGTTGTCATCAGTACCTGTGAATGTTATTGGCCGGGAAGGCTTCTGCGTGCATTTTCCCAATAACATGGCTCAAGGTATACGAAACAGGCTGATTCATGCATGGTTTTGTTCAAAACAGGAATGCTTAGGAAGTAACCTCAATCTTACTTTTATATGAGCGTTTCCCAGACTACCGCACCTATGCAAAGTGTAAACAAAAGGCAGGTGCACTGTGCCTATATCTCTTCTTTCAAGGGACTAGTAAGTCAACCGACACGTTCAGCTTTCATGAAAGCACAAAGCTTTACAAGCAAGGCTCGTCTGATCTTGTGGCTAGGAAGATGGGTGTTGGTAACCAGGCCGCAAATCTCAAGAATTGTATTTACCAGAGAAAGTTTTCACTCGCCTATTCTTAGTTTAGCTAAGGTTATCAGCGTCATCGATGCAGAAGGGCATTTACTTGCATAAGTTGGCTTTACGTGCCTATTTTCAAACGCCGACATAACATCAACTAGAACTTCTAGCTCTATGCACCACCGCGGTGGTCTATTGGCTAAGGTACTCGGCTGCTGACCCGCAGGTCACGGAATCGAATCCCGGATGTGGCGGCTGCATTTCCGATGGAGGCGGAAATGTTGTAGGCCCGTGTGCTCAGATTTGGGAGCACGTTAAAGAACCCCTGATGTTCGAAATTTCCGGAGCCCTCCACTACGGCGTCTCTCATAATCATACGGTGGTTTTGAGACGTTAAGCCCCACTTATCAATAAATCACTTCTAGCTCCATGGTGAATTGGGTAGCCTGAAGAAACATCAACTAGAATGGTCTCCATTAAGGACAGCCTACTGTTTTGATTGTTACACCCCATAGCCTCAACAAAACTTTGTGCCATACCGATTGCTAGGACCACTTTGATGGTTAATCGCCTTGCGTGTTAGCGTCCATTTTCTTTAACGATAATTTTTTTTCAGTCACTTGTTATGCAATTACGCAATGTATCAGTCTTATCACCCCTTATCATATGTTCTCAGAACTTATAAGTTCTATTTACCTACGTTTCTTCGTATTTATGTCTTTATCCACGTAACCACACTGTAATGTTACCAGCCATGATTGTCTGGTGGTGTTTTCTGCTGACCCGAAGGTCCCGGAATCGAATCCGTGCCACGGTGGCCGTATTTCTAGAAGCGCACGGCTGAATGCCTGCGTATACAGTGATCTAAAACCACGTTATTGAACACCACATGGTCAAAATTACCAAAATCTCTCACTCTGGCGTCCCACATACTCGTAAGATATTTTTTATACGAAGTGCCCCCGTGCCCCTGCAATCATGTTGATCGGAAGTTTGCATATTTATATACACAGTTCGTTTCTACCTTTCAGCGTACATGTGTTACCGCGTCTCATGAGGCATTTAAAGAGGCCATGACACGATCACGCCATATTTCGCGATTTTCTGTAACTATTGCAAAAAGAGGTCCGCTATGTCTAAGAGAGAAACAGTTTTATTTGAAATGGCAAGCTTTAGAGGAATTATATTATTAATTTTAGATGGCAGCTAAGAGTCCTTGGGACCTAACGGCATCTCCGGCTTGCTTGATCACTTGTAGGTGGTCGCAGATGTTCGAGCCAAACAGCGCTGTGTCCCACTGCTTTGCGTTGAAATACTTGGTGTTTGGCTCCTTCTCAAGGTTTGGACAAACCTAGAGAATGTGTCTGAGTCCCGCCCTGCTACTGCCGATCTTACATTTGTCGGAGTAGCGATCTGGATAGCAATGACGCTAAGCAATTTGGTTTGCGAACGTGCTTGTTTGCAATAGGCGCAATGCTGTCGCCTGCTGTTCATTTATTAATGAATGGGGTGGAGGGTTTAAGCACCTTTCTAATCTACAGTGGTGATTTAATTGTGTGACACCATGCACTCTCTCTCTACACGCGGGCTCCATGTCATTACAGCACCAGCTGGCCTCAATCATTTTCGAGCTAGGGGTTGCACGTTTTCATAGCCCGGGAGGGAAAAGTGAGCGGGCTTCTATAAGACATACACGTCGCGCTCTCCGTAAAAGTTGATCATAACTCTTTTCACCTCTTTCGCGACCATACCATGCGCAAACTTATGAAATGCGGTTTTAGAGCAGCTGATTGTAATGCTGACTTTTGTAGATGCAAGCGCCAATGCTATGGTCCCTTCTTTCGCGCTCTCAAATTTTTTTTATTTATTGAAACTGTTGGGAAGCAGGTGTCCCGCTTGATTTGAAGTGACCATTGCCAAGTGTTGACCGTCCGGCTCTTCCGCAGCATTTACATAGACCTCAGCTATATCGTTTTGAAACTTTTTGCGCAGCGCTTTCACCCTATTATTCTTCCGCTACCGATGATACTATGTCTAAATATTTATAAAAGGTAGGCAATAGGACACGATTTCAGTTCAAACAAGCCCCAGAAGTCTCCAGTTACAAACTCCTCACACAACCGACTGCCTCCATTTTGCCATTGTGTTTGTGCAGTCGTGGGCCTAATGAAGCAGAGCCATTGCTTTATATCAAAATTTCACCAGCAGAAAAACAATCAAGTTTAGCACCAAGCAGAAAAATTCTGAAATATATTGACTTCACGTGCAGCTGACCCAGCAACAATATCGTTCGCTGGATGACACACACTTGAGGAGCAATCTCCTTGTTATGTTACGCCCCGCGAGTGCACCAGTATTTTGCGAGATTAAGGCCGCTTGCGTGTTTGTAAATATATTCAAAATATAAATCTGGCTGAGTGCGAAACCAAAATAATGCAAATTTTGACAGCTCATTTGTTAACGCTGAGATATCAAGCCACAAAACACATTATGATAAAAAGGTGTTATTGCGCATTTGATTGGACTGCCTCAATAAGGTATTTCTAGAAGTGTTTGAAACATTTCTCATGTTCATTTGTACAGGTGGAGCAACCGTTCACAATGGATAAGAGTGTAAGGCCGGTATGTGTTCTCTTGGATCACGTTAACATCATCAACATCGAGGCCTTAGTCGCAGGATGGGGACGCCACACCGAAGGTACTTAACAAAAAGGTCACAGTTTTTTTTTGCAAGAGCAAGCAATGAATGTGATAGCACGAAGTTCGTATGTCACACGGAGTACGATAAGCAGCTTGATACTTGCAGCGTGTTGCCGAAGCACGAAGAATGGTCGAAAAGAATGTGCAGATACACACGGAGCAAGTGCCAACAACTGTCACAGTTGTTGCACCTTTGTGCTTGAGCGACGCGCGGCAAGCGTCGACAATGCGGAGTCCGTCGCGCATAGATAGAGATTTTTTTTTCACCTGTGGTACATAAAGTTACCTCTCTCTACTGCCGCCATCTGGTGGCGTCTGATGCAAGGTGTGCCCCACTGTTTCTTTTTTTTTTCACCTTCCGTGTGGATACAGGTAGGTGCCACTTTATCGCTCGCGTCTCAAGGGCAGTTTGCAGATTCGACAAAAATGTCGCAGCGTTGCGTAATACAAAAGACGCTGGAGCTCCTCCGAGTTCGGCGTAGTGCTAGGAATGAAACGTGTATGTTAGTAGCTTGCTCTTTATACTGTCACCGCTTTTATGGCACGTGGTGTATTTTTTATAACACAGCGCTATAATCGCCAAAAACAATTATTCCCGCTTCGCAGACGACAAAACGACAAAGTACTACCTCCACTATACAACACTAAGGATTCTGCCACACGAATACTGTGAAAGGCTGTACCCTATCGAGTACGACGAAAATGTGAACTACTGTGCGTATCAAAAAGACACGGACACGTGTAAGGTATGCTATCTATCTATCTATCTATCTATCTATCTATCTATCTATCTATCTATCTATCTGTCTGTCATCTATCTATCTAACCATCTATCTATATGTACATGCATAGATACCGCAGCTTCACAGGGCCATTTATTTGAATGGAATCATCGTGCATCAACAAACGACTAAAGAAATTGCATTATGGCTTATCCCGAAAGTCTCCATGTGATAAGTTAATATGTTTGGTGGCCGATGGAGAATGTACTTATTCACGACAGTGGATGGTTGAACAGTCAAAATGATTAGTCCCTGAAAGCTTCAAATACAGGAAAGAATGGGTGAGGTTAGTTTGTGAGAACACGTATGGTGTAACAAGTAAAAAAAAGAGACAAGAGAGTGAACGAAATTGTACGAGTACGACAAAAATTACATTTTACCATAACATGGGTGTTGTGCATCACCCGTTGAGTGGCAACCAATTTGATGTCACCTATTAGCCACTAAGTTGGAAGTGTAATAAATAACCCTGGTGCTCTGTGAAACCCTGGGCTGGGAGCAAGACATGGTGACCCGAATAAATTGATATTGCGTCCCGTTACTAACGACTTTTGTGTTCTAAAAAAAAAACTCTGGCATGGTTCTGTCTATTGACCAACAGCATTACTATAGGCCGCTCATGTATAAGTCGCGCTATAAGTACATTCCTGTTTACACTCATTTCAGTGCACGCATATTTCTACCCACTAGCCTTCATATGCCAGCTCAATATGTGTTAGAGGCATTAGTTATGAAGATTGAGCTAAGAAGGGGCCTTTTCCTCCGCGCGCAACTTCTTTAACGAATATCGTTTCGTAAAACATCTCGTGTAAGTCAATCCTTTCAATAAAAGTGTCCTTACGGCATTTCACCAAATAATGCTGGTGTACTTCAACCATTCATATCAAAAAAGACGAAATGAAAGAGTGCCAATAACAGCGCCGCTTATAAGGCACACTGAGGTTAAAATTCATTGACACTAAGGTCAAAAACGCCATTTACACGCCAATGCAGACTAACTTTGACTCATTTTTTGCCATGAGTGTCCGAGTGAGTCCAGCTGAGTAATATGTTAATGAGTTCTTCGGAGTGAATCCACTTGAGGAAATTTTTTCGTCTGTGTGTGTGAGTCCTAAGAGCAAAATATATTTCTTGAGTTAGTGAATTTCCACATTTTTTGCCGACCTATCAACCCTAATGATCTACAAGTTCACTGTAATTGAGGTTAACGTGATCAGTATTGACTTCTTCAAAACACGCGCAGGGCGATTCCGGAGGACCACTATTCGCCAAGAGTAGGAGTGGTACGTACGTACAACTTGGAATAATCTCTCACGGAATCGGTTGTGCCCGAGAAGGTAATCCTGGAGTCTACGCACGAGTGGATGCATACGCTTCGTGGCTCACCAAAGCAGTGGCCTCTGACGAAGGCTACAGGAACCTTACCGTAGACACTATGCAGGAAAGCACTCCAACGGAAGAAGACAACATGTTATTTTCGTTTTTTCCTTTTCTTCGGACGTAACGTCTGGAATAAAGTTCGTTCACAAAGCGGGCTGTTCGATGGTTTTGATGCCGTCAGGGGTAACTTGAATAGTTCAAGGCGAACACCTTTATCATTATCAAATGCAAAAACTTACTGTCATTGATGTCAACGTCCCGCTGCGTGAACTTCATCTGCGATTTGATGACATCACATGTCGCCATGTGATATCGTGATGAGATGGCACATCGTCACATCGTAGATGGCTAACAGTTCTCTATTTATTGAGATGTTATCATCATATAACTGCGATAAACACTTTCTGACGTGAAGTCAATAAGACGTCAACGTAATACAAGGACATTACTTGACGTGTTGCCATTTGACGAAGACATCATATGGCATCGTCACGTAGTCTCAAGTGGGCCAATGATAAAGCATGCGCGAAAGCTTGGAGGGTGCTAAAAGTCTGAAAGCCTCCTGACATAATGAAATGGCGTCAGACGCCTTTCATATGGAGTAAATATGGATCGGTATGTCGCCTGAGATGAAAAAGAAGTAGAAATTTGTCTTTCAATCCTCGTTGCCGATTTTATAAAGACCGTATCACTTTTGCAGTTCAATGTCATCTGAGCGACGCCTTTTTTATTCATGTTTTTTGTTCTTGTTAGGCACTGCTTTCAAGGCATTACATGTTTACACAAACGCGACAAGTGACCGTCAGTAGCATTCGCGTCAGCTCAAGTGACGCAAAAAAAAAACTCACAGTTCCTGCACGAGACCGATACAATGAATGCGATAGCAACACATCGGATTGTTATACGAAGTAAGGCTTGGATATTTAGAAACCATATGAAATGTAGTTAACAGGGTCGAATGTGCGCTTAGCTGCAGCGATTCTCACACGCGCAGCAGCGTGTTATTCCTGCCTTTTCGCACAAATGCAAGCCCGATTTGCTTCAACGTCACCAGCATTCTGTCGAAGCTGTTCCGCAGGCGTTCGTACAACTTGAGCTGGAATCGGAAAGGCTGAACTTATGGCATTTTTCCAGCGCTCGTATAGCGTTTCCTTCCTTGGCGTCAGTCGACGTATAAAATACCGGTGATAATAGCGAAAACTACAGCTTCAATGCACTTCATCAAAACGTCATACTCGGAATGTCCCAGACTTCGTAGGGTGGGCGTTAATGCCGGAACAGCTGGATGGTGGGAAAAGCATGGAGACTTGCTTGATTCTTCTCATATGGCTTCCACCCATCACAAGGGATCGGCCACAATATTGGCGGTTAATGCATCAGTGCACCAAAGCATAACTACACGTGAGACATACGAGCTTTGTTCAAGAATGTTTCTTTTAATTCCATTCACAATAAACCTGATCTAAATTGTGTATATGTATAGCTCACCATTAGTCACAGAGATGACGAGAGCGGCACGGTCTAGTTTATTAACGCAGCGCAGTGAGGAGTGAGGCGTCGCTGGTTAGAATCTCCGATAGGGTACCTTGAAAAGTTTTCTTCTAATTTTTTTCGCCTTTTTTTACAAAAGCTCTGCAGATCTCATCTTACTTTACATATTGAGCAAGCTTTCACTCATTGTCAACCCTGCTTTTTCGCCAACAATCAGAGACGCTGCGCCCAACGCAAAAACCGACATCCGGTTTTCCGCGAAACTACCTCTTAACCGTTATCTCTTCGAAATTCACGTTGGAAGCGTGTATTTTTAGCGCCTGCCTTAGACAAGGGAGGCGAAAGAACGTTGAAGCAGTACGTTTGATGGAGCCTATGTTTCTAAAATATTATGTGCCTTCATGAAGGAAGCACCTGCTCTTCTTAGCCCCACAGGAGCGTCCACGCGAGCAGGCGTTTGGTAAGTGGCGACACCACGGACCGGAGCCAACAGGAGGTTTTCGACCCCTTCCCACGGTTGGCCGTGCGTGGCATTGCCATGTCAGGGTGAAAGAGGATCGTGGCTGTTGAGCCGATGCCGGGTGATTGGACCTTTAGGACACCCTCATGCTGGCAACCCACCTCTTTGGCCCAGTCTTCGCGTAGATGGCGTCCCTGGTCTAACCAACCTAGGGGAAATTGGCAGTCACCTTTTTCCCATCTCTCTCTCCCCACATTTTGTTCTTTATCTCTCGATTTTTATTTGTCCTGTCATTGTCTTTCTTCTGTTTACTTTCTGATTTCCTGGCGGCGAGGATTAACCCTGTGTAGTTGACAACTTTTGGGTACTTATACTCGGTTATAGCGGCGATGCATGGCAGGTGACTTAAAGTGTTCTTGCTAGCAGCGCCCCCTTGTTTGGTTCATCGCCGCTGAAATATTTATTACGTTACTGTATGACAAGCTCTGTTACTGTGCTCCTTGATCACCACCCGAAAAGGTGGTGCACGAAAGAGAAGCACACGCTCTTTAAGCCAAAACAGTTTTTCCCAAAATTGTTATATTACTTGCATACGGTTATACATAGTACTTATATTCGATTATAGCAGCGATGCATGGCTGGCAACTTGAAACGTTCTTCCTTGCAGTGTCCCCTTGTTAAGCTCGGTGGTGGGTGGCCACCATTGCCGACGAACAATACATTATCTGTATGGGAAATGTTTTTCCTGCACTCCCTGATCGCCGCCCGGACAGGTGGCCCGCCGAAGAACCGTTCGCAATCCTTAAATCAAAACAGTCCCTCCGCAGCCCTTCCAAAAAACGTTCCTCCCCAAGTATACGGCGCAATGGCGTAGCATGGCTTTCGCACCATAAAAAACTCACATAATTTATATTCATGCTTGTGTTGTAAGTGTTTTATATGCATCTAGCTCACCGTTTTCAGCCTCGGTTGCTAAAGAGATTAGACGAAAGGTTATAAGAAAAGAGCATGCTTTTCAGGAAAGCTGGGCGACAAAATATAGTCGCGTGAATACGTCCTAACAAGGGCGTGTGAAAAGTGAATGAACAGCACCTCCTCCACATATCACGTGGTTGTGACGTTGAAGCAACTCTCCCAATTGAGGGATGAACACTTTACTGGCCGAATATGTATCCAGAAAGAACAGAAGCGACACAGTGAGCACAATGGTAGCCTGGAGCGCAATTGACGGTCTTCGGTAAACTTATGATCATAGAACGCATCGTCTTTAAGAGAAGAGTGTTGTACAATTTCCTGGGTCGAAAGGATAAAAGAAACTGAAACTAAAAGAAAAGATCGCCAGTGCTCCTCCGTATAGAGGGAGACCCAGAGCTCTAACGACATTGCTACAGCATGTGTTGTAAAGTGCCCGTGTGTCACCAGTGAGAGTACGCTGGCTCTATGCCATCCATGTAATTAGAACATTTAAGGGAGAAGCGTAGGCCTCAGTCTGTAGTTGACGTAAAGTGATAGAGTGAGCTTTTTTTGGAGTTGAATGTAAGAAGGGGAACTTCCACTATTGCAACTGATAGTGCTTGCTAATTTTAAGCAAGGTTAAGAGGGGATCTCGCTGGTACGAGTGGGTGTACTCAGCCTCCAAGCGGTTCTCCCCAACTTGGAATGCTAGACCACAAGCCCATGAGCGTTACCACTCGTTGGCATTACGAATGGTTCCGTGCACGTGTCGGCCAACGTGTGCCTAGTCCAACCAGGCATTCCAGCATTTTCCTTTTCTTTACACCATGCAGAAAAAAGGGCCAGGACAACGTTTTAATAAAACCAGAACTTTAGTAGGCTATGGCTATGTCTCCCATGGGGGACGTCCAGCTCTTGCCTCTTTGCCACCTAGCGCTTGCTGGGTAACGCAAAACTAGTAGTTGAGGTGTCAGCTGCGCAAGGCGCCATGCCATCTCCACGAGAAAGCATCGGTGTTAACGCACAGATATTGGGATCGTCGCGATGGACGGGTACGTAGGGTCCGCTTTAGGGTGGCTGGAAAGGCCAGCGAACGGTTTCGTTGCGGAGGAAAGCACGCGGACACGTAGCTCGCTCATTAAAAACAAAACGTGTAGGCTTGTTGTGGTGGGTTGCAGGTGACTGGAGTAACACGGCAATGGTGTGTCCGTGCCGGGTGACGAAGTTGTTGAGGTCTGACGTCGTAGCGCTCGATGGCAGAGCAGCGATGAATACACCTGGGAGACCAAACGATCTACCGTAGACGACCTCGGCTGGTGTAGCGTGGATGTTTGGATTGAAGGGGGCGCGAAGACCGAGGGTGACAACTGGGATGGCCTCAAGCCAGGTTTAGTCCAAATGGCAAATACTGACTTTCTTGAATTGTTGGTGGAAATGCTTCGTAATTCCGTTGACGCAGGCTTGTGGCGATGTCAATTAATGTCACCTCAAAGAGCTGCTTTTCGTCTCACCTTCGGCCTTGGCAATATAGGCGATAATATATAGTGCATCAGAAACCACCCATGTATATAGCACATGCATATATATGTTTCATGACGACATTCTACATTGAACAGTTGTACGTAGCGCTTTTTATACCCGGGCTTCACGTAGCACGACCTTCCAAGAGATGTTTCTGCTGCGGTGGCTACACTGAAAAGCACCTGCCTCGTGGCCCCTTGACACAAGAGTGCTGATGCGGCTCTCGTGCTAGTGCCAAATTTTTTCGCCATGCTTTAATTGTTAGAACATTTTGCCACCCAATCTCACTATACCTTTCATGTTACCGTCATGATTTTATTACTTGTATGTGTAGCCCACTTTAGTGTGGGGTATTTTAAGGGCCTTGTACAGCCACTCAAGATATTCATTGTTTACATCTCTTGTCCCGTGACCTTGCACTCTGTGGCCATCAAATGGCCTTCCGCCACAAAACATCACACATCATCATTTCTCGCGTGCTGTGTTTTTCTTGCGCTAAGTAATTCTCTTAAAGATGCACCAACTAGGTCCCTAAAAAGACATTTTGACAATATACGAAATTCCTACAACACAGAGCAGAGAAAGCTGCCCTTAGACTTGCTAGTTACAGCCGGCATGTATTGCTCACAAAGCTAACGTAGTCAAAAATATAACGGCGTCAGCG